ACTAGAATAATATAGAGTAAAATATATGATATGTGATAAAACACGACTGGCAGTTCACCCATTTGCCTAATAAGTGACCTACAACAGTATTGAACATACTGCATGGATTGGAGGAGTGTACCCATTCACACCTTTCCAACAAAGCTAACAGTGAGCCAAGTTATTTAGATCACGGGCATCATTTACTCGGCCTCAAAAAATAACTTACAACTTAATTGTGCGTGGAAATAACATTGAGCCACAGGAGAACACTAACCTCTTACAACAATAACCGGAATGGAACAATTCAATGTTCCGGGCCGGAAACAATCAAGCATTGCGATTAATAACGAAAAGCGGCGATGTCCACTCTTCAATTCTGATTAAAATCCTATGATTATCAATTATATGAGTAGGTATTATCGGTATTTGGCAGAAACGCCGATCGTGACACCGATGTTTGTTTACGTTTCCATAAAGGCGCGGGAAATGTGCGGTGGGGAGGGGGAGGAGGAGGAGAGGGGTAGGGGACGCGGCACGGCTGGACACGGCCAAGGGGGAGAGCAATAATTACGGCACACTCACCGACATATCGTGGTCGCGGGAGGTGATTCTTTCCTGGGGTAGGCAATCCCGACTCTCTTGTCCAGGATGTGGTCCCGTGCATCGTTGTGTGGCTCCAGGCGGCAACGCCAGGGAAGTGCCATGACAATAGTGAAATGATCTGGATAATAAACTATTATGGGCTGGCCGGGAGTCGAACCCCAGACAGTTTCAGACTGGTCACAATTGAGCAACCTCAGCTGCCACAGAAGTGAAGGAGATAAATTATATATCCGCCCTAGCCGGGAGTCGAATCTCGGGCAAACAGATTGACACGAGCGCGATTAAGCGGGCTCGGCCGCCCGCCCGGCTCCTCCACTGCGCGTTCAAAGTCGGTCCTGTATTACGGGAGACAAGGAGCGACGCTAGTCAGCGACAGCGTGAATGATTCGTTCCCTGGAGCCCTACTCCGTGTCTCGCCTGTATGGCTCAGTCGGTAGCGCGTCCGCTCAGAGCGCGGGAGGTCGGTGGTTCGACTCTCCGTGTGTCAGAAATTTTTCTCAGGCCACCAAATTTCAAATGGACTTCAAACCCGTCATTTCACCACGCCCCTCTCGTGGAGTTCCGATGGCGTAGTGGTTACCATTGTTGGTGGCACTGCGTCATAGGTGTCAATTAAGTGTCGGCTCTGGACCGGGGTTCGAGCCCAGGTGCCAGGCACCTCGCTGTGGTAGCGGGGTGCATAATAAGACCTAGAAACTGGCTGAAAAGGGCTCCATGACCTGTGGGCTAGATTGCCATACCCACCTCACTTTACACAGCCTACCCCCACCACGCGCGCCGGCCCATGCGCAAACCCGATGCGCGGCGGCTGCAGCGCCAAGTCGCTGGTGGCTGATCAGCACTGTGCATGCAGCTGCAAATGATGCTAAAATTTAATTTTCTGACTTTGTTCGGGATTTTTGAGGAATATGCTTCATTGTGGAGGATGGTTCAGAGTCGGATGTCTAGTTGGAGGCAAAGTTTGTTTGTTGTCAATTTACCAAATATGTGTAACAAATTAATATGGATCAGTTGATTTGACATTGTAAAGACAATTCCATATGAGTCATTTAAAAGCAAAGCCCATTGTAAAACACCAATTTTAAAAAGAA